AGATGAAATCAAATCACAGATAAGATGCTATGGAGGGGCACACAAGGAGTAATCCGAAAGGTCATAGAGGGCCGACAGAGTGGGGTAGCCGTCATGTAGCATACGAGTCGCAAAGTGATGGAAGCCTAACGCGACATGCTCTAGGATGCCAAAGAGACTTGAATGCAAGTGGCGAGCCAATGCTCTGAGATGCCATAGACAAAACACCAACACTTGAAGAGATAACACATGCGCTTCAATGGAGCGCATCGGAGATCATCTCTCTCCGAGCTGATGCAAAGAATGGATGAAACTGGTGCGATTAAACTGCGACGGAGGAATCACAGGTTCTTGACGCCTTAGACACAGCCGTCTTTGGACGATACTAGCTTACGGCATGTGTCCATCGGTCGGTCTAGTCATGTCCAGGATGTGTTTACCAAGCGCAGCCATTGGACTCTCATACTGCGAGCTAAGTTGGTCGACGGTGTACTCGAAAATAATCAGACGATATAGACGTATAGTATGCGGAAACGCACCTGAAAATACAACATGCATGAACGTTCTACCGATCAAACTGATGAGAAGTCGCAAAACGAACGTGGGTCTACAATGTTTAATAACCACGCAGCAAATGTGAGATCGCTGTTCATCCATCAGGCATTCTTCGGAATGACATCTACCAACAAGGAGGCACGACCGCAGACCCAGCGAAGCTAGAAGGACATCGCCACGCCATGATTCCGCCGACAGACATGAACAAACCCTGCAGGAATCCTTGGACTGGCTACATATATGTCGCCATTCATACCGAAGGTTGGGCATAACCCATACGGCAACTTTACACCGGCTGCTTCCTCAGGAAGGACAGCACCCGTTTGACGTGACAAGCACATATCAGGCAGGCCTACGAAGAAGACCAAGCATCTTATCTGCAAGAGGCACTACCACTTGCATACTTCAATACGCGCGACAGAAGTGAAAGCAGTCCCATGCAAAGTGGACACCCTCTACAAAAAGGCTTGGGAGCTCCCATCAAAAATGAACCTGTAACGTCAGCAACCAGCCGGCGAACCTTCAACGCATGCCTATGCATCTCCGGGATGACCCTCGTCATAAAATATAGAACGCGGTCCGAAGAAATGCTTGCTGCTGATTGCTTGTCAGAGGCAACCTGAATGAAGCCAAAAAAGGAAAGCCATCGACGTATGGACGTGAAAGTAAGCTCCGTGGCAGTTCTCTACTTTCCAAAGTAACAGGAAATGGCAGAGGAGACTAGGGAATGACGAAAACTGCCCTTGCGGGACCATAGTTGCGGCCGGGCTGGCCCAGCGCACAGACGGGAGTGTACTAAACCGCTGCAACTGCCTATTGGGCGGCGGCTTCAGGATGAACTAAGCGATGCGACGAATGGTGTGGTTATGAAGGGGAAATGGGCTGTGATACCCCGAAACCATGCAAAAAGTAATAATCTGAGCAGAATTCACGTAGGTCATCTAAGGGCATAGACAAAGATGCTAACTTAGGGCTAAAACTTGTGTATACTGATTTGGTATGAACAGTGAACATAGAAAAAGCTAGTGTCACAGGTGTGAACCGATCGTCAGACACGACAAACCAAGTCAAGCAGCAGAAACTGGCAACCGTCAACGAGAATCCCAACCCGTCCGTGGCAGACATTGCGGAACAGACTTGTTGTTCCAGCTTTGGAATGCAGAATACCATGCTGACCTTGCTGGACTACTATATGCAAAAGTATCCAGTTGTACAGACAAGATCCAGGGGCAAGCACATCTTGAGGCAGGTCGTGAAAGATTCGTGAAGAAAATACTACTCCGAGTTCGGACGACGCCGAGCGGATTATATGTGACAAACGGTCCTCATTCTCTCTCGGCAGAATTTAACAGTTCTTGAAATCGTGGAACCATTCGACAATGTGACTACAGTGCCGAGGTACCCTAGAATCGCAAGATGGGGTTCATCGAGCGTAATGTAATTGGACACGTGAATGAAATCCTCCAAAAGGCCAAGGGATAAGCAAAAGCTGATCCAGATCTTGCGCATGCTGTGCGCGCTGAAAACACCGATTGACAACGCACATGCTACCAAGTCAGCGGTGAACTGTATGTTCAGTCGGCAAGTGGGTCCACATCTTCCTATCAAAGTGATCACCGCAGCCAGTGGGGCGACACATGACCCCGCAGATAAGGTACAGGAACGTCATCACAACAGAAGCAAGACGAGCGCGCAGAAGCAACTGACCATGGATAGAACTGGACAAAAGATTATAGCTCCTTGTGTCCAGGCAGTTTTTTCAAACCTACAGATCAGCAATAGTTGGAAGCATTGTCAACCCGCTAAAGGTGATTAAAAAGTGTCCATGAGCCAACAGATGCGTACATGGTTGAAACGCACGCAAATGGAGGTATGCCTTAGGAGGAATCGGAAAGCAGTTACGCGAGACTGGTCTTATGGGATACGGCGAAAAGAGTCCACCCAATCATGGAACCGAAAAGATCTGAGTCCCTAATCGGAGTCTTGAAGCGCAGCTGAGAGCACGTGTGAGCCAAAAAGGCTCAGGCAGATGATGTAGCAGGCGCATCTGATACATCAAACCGCACACGCTGCTGGTAGGATAAGTGTGAAACTGATCGCCTTGATCTTTTGAATGCAGTTGATGCAAAACCCTGTGCTGGCTTCAAGTAAGATTAATACTGTGACGATTGAGTTAAGTTATATTAAGTAGCGACATGAACATTGGCAATTATATATTTTGTTTTCGTTAATACAAGCCGTAGATAAAATAAAACAGTATCAAGTAGACTAGTAACAGTATTTAGACATGCCACAGCCAATTCACATGTGTTTGTTATAATTAGCAAAAGGGGGATGTAATATGACAGCCTAGGCATTGGTAATAACACAGTATGCAGTGCGTGAGCAATGCGGCAGTAGGTCTTCCTGCTCTACCTCGACGAAGTCATGGGCTCTTGTGAGTTGTCGCTGGTAAACTCGTCCGTCAAATAAACCATTGATTACATTGAATATATACCTGTGGTTCGCGTGTGCACAATCGATTTATGTGAGTTTTCGAAACTCACGCTCCGTGCTCAGCACGAATCTCACCGTGTGCGCCGGGCATGAGCTAGCTATGGTCTGCTATAGGGGGGAACACACACCGACGCGTGACCGTGTGTGGGATGTGCACACCGGCGCGTGACCGTGTGTGGGATATGTGCACACCGACGCGTGACCGTGTGTGGGATGTGCACACCGGCGCGTGACCGTGTGTGGGATATGTGCACACCGACGCGTGACCGTGCGTGCATGGGATGTGCACACCGGCGCATGACCCTGTGTAGGATGTGCACACCGACGCGTGACCGTGTGTGGGATGTGCACACCGACGCGTGACCGTGCGTGGGATGTGTACACTGGCGCATGACCGTGTGCGGTAAAGGCAGTGAACCATCTCTCGTAGCATACCCCGTACACCTTGACAACTACCCCCAGGACAATTACCAAAGCGGCAATTACCACCCGGACAATTACTACTACGGACAATTACTAATCGTAGGCGTACAATAATGATGGCCCATTTTCAATACACATATTACTATTAGGACTATTACCAATCTGATGATTACCCTCTCAGGACCATTACCCATTTACCCACCATATTATTATTACTACCAGCAGATTTATAAAGTTTTTATTTTGAAAACATATTGCCAGAAAACATAATTGAAAAAAAAGTCGCTATTAGTATTACCCAGATACGTATACCACCCCGGTTTTAGGTAGGATGCTGGCTTCAGTTGATGCTAGATATATATAGCTGCCGCATAATGTAGGTAAAGTTCTGCAGGGAGATGACGTCAGGACACTGACAAGCGTGAATGAAGTCAATGAATTGCAGCTGCTGGTTGTCAACTTGAATTCAATTAGAATCACATTTGCATCTAAGAGCAAGTGGAAAAACAGTATCAGGTTGAAGTGCGACAAAGTGGGTGATGTCTTCCTTTGGTGTATACTTCCCGTTAGTAAATAAATAACTAATAATCTAATATATATAGAAGTAAATAAATATAATAAATATAAGTTTTTGTACGCATTGTTTCTGTTATATTTCAGATGTGCTGGGTGGATACAATGGAACCATATTTGCATATGGCCAGACATCTAGTGGCAAAACACACACTATGGAGGTAACTTCCACGTGCTTATTTCATGAAAGTAAAGGGAAACAACTGCATTGGTTACGGGCAGTGTTATTTTATTTTACAGCCTTATAATAACATGTTTACTGTAAAGTTATATATCCTATGTGGTAATTGTATCTCCCGCAACGAAGTCGGCGGGGATACTATGGTTTCATGTCCGTCCAGGCGCCGCCGCCGCAGACACTCTTCCGCTCTATAACTCGACCCTTAATTGACCTAGCGCGACCAAACTTGGTATACTTACACATCTTGGGGCGAAGGTGTGCTGCGTACCAAAACCAGGTCACTGCGACCTTTATTTGACCTTGACCTTGACCTTGATCATATTTCCTTTCCGCTCTATAACTCGGCCCCTAATTGACCTAGCGTGACCAAACTTGGTATACTTACACATCTTGGGGAGAAGGGGTGTCGCGTACCAAAACCAGGTCACTGCGACTTTTATTTGACATTGACCTTGAAATTGATCATATTTCCCTTCTGCTCTATAATTCGGCCCCTAATTGAGCTAGCGCAACCAGACTTGGTATGCTTACACGTCTGAGAGAGAAAGTGCGCATTGGCACCTGTCTTTGACCTTTACTCTGGACTTGAAGATAATCTCTCCGACTTTTAGTTTAACCCTAATCAACATAGCGGATTTGTGTGAAAAATTGTTAAAACATTGTAAAAAAACGTTACTTTTTAGCTCATCTGACATAGTCAGATGCAGCTTGTAGAATCGCTTGATCGTCCGTCCGTGCGTCCGTCCGGCCG